TCAGATCAGTACTAAAATACGTTTAACAATGCTATGTTTAAGTGGTTTTGAACCATGTTCTCGTTGGGTGCCCCTGACTCAATTTGTGCTAAGGGTGTTTAAAAATAGTTTTCTATCAAGCTGCCAAAGACTGAATAACAAGCTAGACATAAAAAAAAAATTCTTACGAGAAAGCACTATCAAACTGAGAAGTATTGTTTGGAGTAGTCGACCCGATTTATATTTAGGGTTTTAATTACCCTCGTCCCTAATTGATTGAGGGTCAGTAAAGTTTCGATCTACACCCATTCGGCTGTTTAGGTCTCTGATCTGTTTTCGCGGCATGGGTTACAAAATTAAAACAAAATGGTTGTCGACTCTCAGATCTAAAGGTAGATTGCTCCAAGCTTTCGGGGTAGAAGGAGGCCCTCCATTTGTTTTAATACTGCGCTGCTTAATTTGCATTTTAATTGCTTGGATAGTTGACATAGCATGCATGATAAGTGTAATCATTACATTTTGGTTTCTGTTGGCGGCGTCGGAATAATCGGGCTTGTTTAAACTCCTCTTGCAGTATTTTTCGTTACTAAGTTACAGTTCCTTATGAGTAATAAAGTCTGCGTACAAAACGCTTACCGGACTGTTACAAACTAATTAACAGAGTTAAAGAATACCGAAAAGGACAAAGAACAATTAAGATAGATCTCAACCGTAGGAAGCCAGATAAGGGCATACAAGTCAAAAAACATTGCAAGCCTTTCCTTCTCACCTACAGTAGTTATACCTGTGCAGTGCGGTGTTCAAGAGCTTAGCTGCCTAATAGCTTTGTACAGTCTCATACTGTAAGGTATGTCAAGGCTTTAAGACAAAGTGGAGTAAGTGTCTCCTAATTAGGGGCTATTAACTTTTAACGAAAACCAGTCAGTGTTATTCTTGTCTTAACTAAGCTGTGAGATCGCAGTTTGCTGGGCTAGGGGTCGCCTTAGATTTCCGGCTGACACGGCTGAGTTCATTGAAAGGCGGTGTTGTCTCGTTCTGTTTTCGTGTCAGAGAATGGTTGCAATTTTCACATGGCCTTAACCGAAAAGAGGTGGCTCTTTCTGTGGCAGGTGACTTGTAAAAAAGGGGATTGGAAATAAATTAGCTGTCTTTGCAGGTAATTACCTTACCGTGATATATTCTCGGCAAAGGAGCAGTGGCGAAAATATCCGGATTATGTTGACATTGCCCTTCGTGCCAAGGTTTGCCGTTTCTAAACTTTTCATTTCAAGAGATCAGGCTGAAGAAGCCATGGCTTATCAAGTTATTTTACTCTTCGACCTAGATCACAATGTTTTTACAATTTAATTTACTAAAACCCAGTAAAAGTGCACTCATGCTCGTATAACTTCCGGCCCCAGGATTTAGTGTTCTATTAATACTATTTGTACCAGAGCAGTTTAAAGCGCTTTAACGAAATTACCAGTAACTGTTTTGTGAGAGCATGACATTCATTTAGTAAAAGGTCTTCTCGTTTATTTTGTCCATAAAACGCAAGAAAAATAACAGAGAAATCTACTGCATGGTCTTGTTCACTTGAAAGGTCACCCTTTAAAATTAGGTCAGTATTATGACTACAAATTGCACGTTATTCGTTACTTTTTCACAAAAATGGAATGACAGTATTACGTATTACCGTTCATAAACCTGTAATTACTGTTTAACATTCCATTCACAAACTACATCTCTCCGCCCGGGGAATCTGAATGGTCACGCTCTGGTTAGCCGACTCATTCACAAGGTCAAGAGTTATACTAATTATTTGCCTTCAACAGAATACGCAGGGAAGAGAAGCTCAATAGCATGCCTTATTCATCTCCATTTTTTTTCTTGGAAAGCACCTCAAAATATCATGTTGTTACACTTTATCGTAGTACACTCAAGTACGCATTACGGGCCTATATTTCCAATATGGTCGGCAAATTCAGAATTGTTAATTAATAATTGTCTAATTCAAAAGTCACGTAATTTTAACGGTGGAGACCGAAATCAGCGCATTTTTTTTAACTACTCAAAGCAATAGAATTTTATGCGAAACATTAGGGGATTCAAAGCCTTTCCCTTTGAATTTACGCCCCTTTTTGTTTTCAAGTTGACGAGACGCTTATTATACAACTGATTAATATTACCCCGAAGGACAAAGAATTTGTGACACTTTATTAATATGGATCACAAACACAAAGAGTGTTGACCGCGTTACGGGATTGTTTTCACGAAGCAGAATTATTAAACGTATGCAAATTCACGGCGTCGTTCTGAGCTCGTAATGGGACTTTTTCCGTCGAAATCCAAGGCTAACCAGCAACAGTCGGCGCCTCCTGCGAACGCTGCAACTCAGTCATCTTCGTCCGAACCGGCAGGAGGAGCTCCGGAGAACGTAGCGGTCGTCCCTGAGCAGAGACAACAAGTCGAACAAGTCCCAACCAGCCCGTAAGTTTGTGTTCCTGATCCTTGTGGTCGTTGTTGTACTATTGTACATTTGTTGTACCTTCCTAGAGGGTACACACTTTAGAAAAGTCTGTTTGAAAGGTTTCGGTCGCCTTATTAATTGGCAAGGCAAAAACTTTCTGGCGAACGCGCGAATGATAAATATCATAAATATTACAAACGTTTTGTTGCGAGCACATGTGTGTCGTAATCTTAAACGTCTAGGAAGCATGTGTATATTGCAAGAAATATTAGGTATGTTATGTCTATGATGAACCGACCTTTAATCAGCAAACAATATTAACCCCTCACGGAATTTTGCAATTGATACATAAGCTGGAATAAGACGATGAAACGGCAAAGTAGAAATTTTCTGTGTAATCTGAGTGGTCATGTTACTTTTATTCTTTATGGGCATCACGTTTTGCCCAAACACATACCAGTTGTTGTTCGTAAATTGTTAAGTTTTGTCTTTTAAAATTACCGTTGTTGAATAAAGTAAAAAAAAAACCGCCACCCTGTGCATTTTGGTGAAACATTTAGACGATTTATACAAATGTCAATGTTTTTTAACCTTGATGTTGTTGCTAAGGAGTTATTGTAATGGAAACTTCAGCTTGGTAACCAAATCTGTTTGACTTTTTTGTATATTGCAAACTTCAGTTGGAAACGCTTGTTATGCAGACTAAACTGGGTATTGAATTTTTCCTGACCTGCGAAAGTTTATAATAAAGCAGCGAAGTGACAACGTGCAAATAAAACATAAGGCGGTACAGAAAACTAGTCGTAAAAGGTCAGGGCTTGTCTTTTCCATCTTGATATTTAAGGTTCTATTATTCCTGTTGTAGTATTTTGATACAAATTTAATATTTGGGTGTTAAAAAATCTTTTTACCGTTGTTTGTTTCATTTAATTAGATCACCGATTCAAAAACAACTTGTAACATTATAAATGCTGCTCTAGCTGTTGTAATGCATCTCAACCTTTCAGAATGCTGTGTTCAGTGCTTGTCGAGTTCTCTCGGCTGATAAAACTTGTTATTAACACACCGGTAAATTACGTTGATTATCTTGAGCTGTTGGTCTTTCGAGTTCTACAATGTAAAAAGCATTATCAAAGTGGAGTAAGTGTCTCCTAATTAGGGGCTATTAACTTTTAACGAAAACCAGTCAGTGTTATTCTTGTCTTAACTAAGCTGTGAGATCGCAGTTTGCTGGGCTAGGGGTCGCCTTAGATTTCCGGCTGACACGGCTGAGTTCATTGAAAGGCGGTGTTGTCTCGTTCTGTTTTCGTGTCAGAGAATGGTTGCAATTTTCACATGGCCTTAACCGAAAAGAGGTGGCTCTTTCTGTGGCAGGTGACTTGTAAAAAAGGGGATTGGAAATAAATTAGCTGTCTTTGCAGGTAATTACCTTACCGTGATATATTCTCGGCAAAGGAGCAGTGGCGAAAATATCCGGATTATGTTGACATTGCCCTTCGTGCCAAGGTTTGCCGTTTCTAAACTTTTCATTTCAAGAGATCAGGCTGAAGAAGCCATGGCTTATCAAGTTATTTTACTCTTCGACCTAGATCACAATGTTTTTACAATTTAATTTACTAAAACCCAGTAAAATTGCACTCATGCTTGTATAACTTCCGGCCCCAGGATTTAGTGTTCTGTTAATACTATTTGTACCAGAGCAGTTTAAAGCGCTTTGACGAAATTACCAGTAACTGTTTTGTGAGAGCATGACATTCATTTAGTAAAAGGTCTTCTCGTTTATTTTGTCCATAAAACGCAAGAAAAAATAACAGAGAAATCTACTGCATGGTCTTGTTCACTTGAAAGGTCACGCTTTAAAATTAGGTCAGTATTATGACTACAAATTGCACGTTATTCGTTACTTTTTCACAAAAATGGAATGAAAGTATTACGTATTACCGTTCATAAACCTGTAATTACTGTTTAACATTCCATTCACAAACTACATCTCTCCGCCCGGGGAATCTGAATGGTCACGCTCTGGTTAGCCGACTCATTCACTAGGTCAAGAGTTATACTTAATTATTTGCCTTCAACAGAATACACAGGGAAGAGAAGCTCAATAGGATGCCTTATTCATCTCCATTTTTTTTCTTTGAAAGCACCTCAAAATATCATGTTGTTACACTTTATCGTAGTACACTCAAGTACGCATTACGGGCCTATATTTCCAATATGGTCGGCAAATTCAGAATTGTTAATTAATAATTGTCTAATTCAAACGTCACGTAATTTTAACGGTGGAGACCGAAATCAGCGCATTTTTTTTAACTACACAAAGCAATAGAATTTCATGCGAAACATTAGGGGATTCAAAGCCTTTCTCTTTGAATTTACGCCCCTTTTTGTTTTCAAGTTGACGAGACGCTTATTATACAACTGATTAATATTACCCCGAAGGACAAAGAATTTGTGACACTTTATTAATATGGATCACAAACACAAAGAGTGTTGACCGCGTTACGGGATTGTTTTCACGAAGCAGAATTATTAAACGTATGCAAATTCACGGCGTCGTTCTGAGCTCGTAATGGGACTTTTTCCGTCGAAATCCAAGGCTAACCAGCAACAGTCGGCGCCTCCTGCGAACGCTGCTACTCAGTCATCTTCGTCCGAACCGGCAGGAGGAGCTCCGGAGAACGTAGCGGTCGTCCCTGAGCAGAGACAACAAGTCGAACAAGTCCCAACCAGCCCGTAAGTTTGTGTTCCTGATCCTTGTGGTCGTTGTTGTACCATTGTACATTTGTTGTACCTTCCTATAGGGTACACACTTTAGAAACGTCTGTTTGAAAGGTTTCGGTCGCCTTATTTATTGGCAAGGCACAAACTTTCTGGCGAACGCGCGAATGATAAATATCATAAATATTACAAACGTTTTGTCGCGAGCGCATGTGTGTCGTAATCTTAACCGTCTAGGAAGCATGTGTATATTGCAAGAAATATTAGGTATGTTATGTCTATGATGAACCGACCTTTAATCAGCAAACATTATTAACTCCTCACGGAATTTTGCAATTGATACATAAGCTGGAATAAGACGATGAAACGGCAAAGTAGAAATTTTCTGTGTAATCTGAGTGGTCATGTTACTTTTATGCTTTATGGGCTTCACGTTTTGCCTAAACACATACCAGTTGTTGTTCGTAAATTGTTAAGTTTTGTCTTTTAAAATTACCGTTGTTGAATAAAGTAAAAAAAAAAACCGCCACCCTGTGCATTTTGGTGAAACATTTAGACGATTTATACAATGTCAATGTTTTTTAACCTTGATGTTGTTGCTAAGGAGTTATTGTAATGGAAACTTCAGCTTGGTAACCAAATCTGTTTGACTTTTTTGTATATTGCAAACTTCAGTTGGAAACGCTTGTTATGCAGACTAAACTGGGTATTGAATTTTTCCTGACCTGCGAAAGTTTATAATAAAGCAGCGAAGTGACAACGTGCAAATAAAACATAAGGCGGTACAGAAAACTAGTCGTAAAAGGTCAGGGCTTGTCTTTTCCATCTTGATATTTAAGGTTCTATTATTCCTGTTGTAGTATTTTGATACAAATTTAATATTTGGGTGTTAAAAAATCTTTTTACCGTTGTTTGTTTCATTTAATTACATCACCGATTCAAAAACAACTTGTGACATTATAAATGCTGCTCTAGCTGTTGTAATACATCTCAGCCTTTCAGAATGCTGTGTTCAGTGCTTGTCGAGTTCTCTCGGCTGATAAAACTTGTTATTAACACACCGGTAAATTACGTTGATTATCTTGAGCTGTTGGTCTTTCGAGTTCTACAATGTAAAAAGCATTAATTCTCACAGCCTCTGAAGTTGCGCACATACCGGAATTTTCCTTTTACTCTCGTTTTTCCGAAAAAAAAAATTGAAAACTGGTTTAATTGTTAAGTCAATAAAATATCAGATAAGAATAACGTCAACTAGATATATGCCTCAAATCGGCTGACTTGAGCAAATAATTATCGCGTTGCCACTTTTTGGCACTTTTTCTCGAGTAACTTCAAGTACTGAATTATTTAGTATTTCAAGTCGTTAATTCCCTCATTCGTAAAAGCAACCAATGGCAGAATATTGATTGATATAGTAAAGCCATCAGCTGGATCGTATGCGCGGCAGACAGATTATAATATGCAAATTGCGTAATACTTTTGAGTGAGTGACTGTACCGGCGAACTCGAATAATTCTAGTCGGTGCTCCTGTTTTTCGAAGTGCTGTGGCGTTGACGTTGGAGGTGTTCGAAGGTAGGCCTTTCCTGATAGATTGTCGTGATTATTTGAATCTTAGTTAGATTTAAATTCCAGAGTGGATAAAAAGCAGAATTCCACTGGTTATTTTACATATCAGCTTGTATTCGATCGACCATGACTACTTTATTTGCGATTTAAGGCTGTTTAATTCCCTCTTTTTTGGCGAATGTGTCCACATTTTAAACAGGATGATGTAGAATTGTAATGTTTTCGCCAGAAAGGTTTCTTTCTGATAAAATAAAGGTCCGTGAAAAATGGGAGAATTTTCAGCAAATGTCATAATACGAAAGGGCCTGTTGACAGTTCCATCAGACCATAACCTTCACGCAAATCACTCAGTTCCAACTTTAAATCTAGCCATCGTACAGGGATACAACAAGCCTCTGGATCGTCGCCGTGTAAAATCAATACATTCTCAATGGACTGAAAAAATTACGTATTAGTCAAGCGATATAACTGGAATTTTTTTTGGAAATAAATTGGATCAACCAACTATGTTAAAATAAGAGATCGAAACTAGAAGTTTAAACCATACCCTGGTTGCATGTGGAACAACCGTGAATTTGAAACAGGTTGCCACACTCTCGGAGTGCTATAGAACATACCGTGGACTACAGTGAGCCCTATAAGGCAGTACGATGTCGCCCACCCCAGAATACAGCGAGATTTAAAAATATCAGTAATCGGTTCCTTGCTTCTTTCCGCTCCGTTAGGTTATGATATGTATATTTTTCCGTAACCTGCGATAAAAAGAACGCCTGATCGCAGGTTTCTCCGTGGCCGATTTTGTTGTTGCATGTACCGTGAGTTTACGTCTCAGATGATGTATTCGGACGAAAAATGGTCGAAAATCGACAGCAATAAGCAAAAAAGAGCGAGATTTTAAAGGAAATGGGCCACCATGACAATTACATCCCATATCAAGTTTCAATAATTCTGGACTGGAGAGTCCAACACATGTCATTTTAAGGTCGCGCGATGTTTTACTGATATTTCATTGAGCTAAGAGGCTGATTTGTTGATCGACGTCACACCGTGACATGTCTGTTGTGAGGGTTTTCGAATGCCTTAAATCTACCGACAAAGAATGCACTTTAAATTATTTGCACACATGTTATATATGCAAATATGGTTTTTGTCAACCATTGCCGTAAAAAGATTTTAAAAATGAAATACTGTCTGATCCCGTTATCCGGTTTCCGGTCACCTCGCCACCAAACCATCTTGCCACCAACGAAAATACTTATCCAAAGGACCAGTCTCTAAAAGATCGAAAGACTTGCGCCCTCCTATCTAAATAGCTACATCAATAAAAGAACAGGAATGCATAGTTATAATACCAGATTCAGGAAAAATCTAGACGTTCCTATGTGCAGGACAGCCACTGCACAACTAGCCTGCGTGGCAGGCGTTCGAAAGGGAAGGGAAAGGGAATTAGGGCGCGCCCCTCGCGTTTCTCTCGCGCCTAAAACTCCCTTTCCCTTTCCTTTCAAAGGCCTGCTACGCAGGCTACTGCACAACGTTCCTTTCACTATCGGTCTATCAACACTTGGAACTCGCTAAGCGCAAGCGCAAGAAATAGTAAAACGCTCACTAGCATTAAGCGCGGTGCAAAATTGGAGCTATGTCACACCGAGAAGTAGGTGACTGATTGCATGACTAAAACAGTTTTTATATGTCATAGTTAGAGCATTTTTAAGTCAATAATAACTATACGTAAATGTATATAGTATATACGATATACTATCGTAGCTATTTCCTAATTTAATTATATTCCTATTTTTCCATTTATATTTAACAATTAGATTTGTAAATTAGTCTTTTTCTCCTTCTTCTTTCTTTGTTCCATTTTGTAAATTAAATCGGAAGAGCCACGTAGTGGAGATTTAATAAAGATACTGTACTGTACTGTACTGTACAGATTTGTGTTTGGGCTTGAAGAAGAAGTAAAAATCTTAGATAAGTAATCCTCGGTAAGTAAGCTGTGTCGATTATTGCAGAGTTATTATGTGGTGGCGAGTAGACTTATTGGTGGCGATTTTGTTAGTGGCGAGATGACCGTAAACCTGGTTATCCATCCCTCAGCCCCACGAACATGGGATTCTTGAAACGTCAAGTTTATCTTTATATGGTGCCTAATTTATTAAATCAACACTACATGAAAGCCTATTTCATAATTGAGGTTATCATTCGATGCAATCTTTTCTTCCTTTTTATTGGCCTAGAGTCCACCGCGTGGCCTGCAAATAATTGCCTACAAATAATGGTCTGCTCATGCGCAACGTCATCCAACTGTGTTTGGCTTAGTATTTGGCTGCAAATAATATTCTGCTCATGCGCAAATGAAAGCACGCTTTTCTCCTTCTTGCGATCCCGAAGATATTTATCAAAAAACTTACTCGGTAACTGAATGATAAAACAATTATTGAACTCGGTGGATAACATTGCGCATGAGCAGACCATTATTTGTAGGCAGTTATTTGCAGGTCACGTGGTGGGCCCTCGACAAATGAAAAGGAAGAAACATTAGCAAGGAATGATGTGTCTCTCGCAGATCAATGATCTGCCTCAGCCTTCGGCTCCGGCAAATAACTGATCTGCTGGCCAATGACAATTCACGATATTTTGTTCAACCTCGTCCAATAATTTTCAATTATCTCCATCCTTGACAAAGCTTTCGTTTACGTTCTACCTTATATATCTTTGATTTAACATCCAGAAGTTCACTGTGAGAAAGGCGTTAGATTGTAATGTTTAAGTTTAAAGGAAGTGGCTTGTCTACACTGTATGCTTTATTGGAACTGTTCACGACAAGTGGTATTTGGATTAAAACGCCGTTGGACAACCTGAAAATGACTTAGAACGTGGTTTTATTAAACCCTGGTTAAACTTCACTCAAGCTTCACTCACTTTTCTACCAAATTATATAATTTCCCTGCATATTTCCAGGCCAAATAAAGTAATGTCATTATCTGTTTACAAATGCTTAAGGTAAATCCTATAGTCCCTGATATGAAAACATAGATTTTTTTCATACTTTCTCGGAGTCATAGGGGCAACTAACTCTTTGGGACGTGGAATCGTCAGAGCAAAATTTTATAGGCATGACCACAGGGTAACCACCCTCTGTTCGTGTGGCAGTTGTTGTTATTGAAATCAGAGCATCGATCTTTTGTACCACTACAATTTACTCTAACATACAGATTTGAAGCTAAATGTTTCAATAAAAGTTCAAGCCAAATGTTGACTTATTCATTTGTCATGGTATTTCGCCGTCCAGAGCTGTTTAAAGCGTCATTTTGCGAGATGATTATTTTTACCGGCCGTTGGAGACAACTGCCACACGAACAGAGGCAGCGCGCCAGTATCAGAAGCTATTGGATTCCCCATCTCTGATTGGTCAGAAAATATTTTCTGCCCAATCAAAAGCGGGATTTTCACATGCTTGGGGAACAGGTGTCCGTGCAACATTTGCATTGTAGGGAGAGAAAATGATAAGTTGTTTGACAAATGCCTTGGGTAGATGGCCCCTAGTCGTCTCTATATATTAGGGAGCGTAAGCAACGACGACGGCGACGGCAACGAGAACGGCAAAAAATGCAATAGGGTTAGATTGGAAAAACAACAAATCTGCACGTGCATCACGCTTGTTTGTACATGTCTTTGTTGTCACTGCACGACTACACCGTGAGAATGCCTAATTCCGCGTTTCGTGGAGAACGCACTTACTTTGCTTTTCTTTTCCTGAACTTCGATATTCAATTCCAGACAAAAATGCCAACATTTGACGAATTGAACGAGATGGAATAAGTGCAAGAAAGTTTGAAGCCTTTTAAATTCACTTTTTAATTCACCTTTTTTTGACGTTTCTCGTAGCCGTCGCCGTCTTGTTGCTTAAGCTCCGTATCAGTCTCCTCCGACCCTTTCCTGACCAAATACAAATAATAAGAGACGTCTGGGGATAAAACAGGCATTAAACAGGGTTGGTAACGTGTCAGCGGTTATAAAAGACATGGTGCGTTCTACATAGTTTTGAAATGAGTTGTAAAGTGGTTGTTTCGGCGACCATATTTTTGTTGCAAATGGAAAGTGTTCCTCTGAACATGAAGGCTATCTAAGGAATAGTGTTTGCCGTAGGGCCGTCTTTAGGAATACTTTCCCAGTCATTAGGTCACTACCTAATTATCAGGCCTATTTTTTTTGTATTTGTAGTCCCTCAGACAAAATGCCGCTTCCTAAAGAACTTTCGGATCCAAAATGCAACCCCAAAATGCTTCTGAAGAAGTATCTCACTGAAGATGTGTACAACTCGTTGAAAGACAAAAAAACCGCAAGTGGCTTTACACTGGGTGACCTGATTAATTCTGGATTGCTAAACTTGGATTCATCAAACGGAGTTTATGCTGGAGACGAAGAAAGTTACACTCTTTTCGCGGACTTACTTAACCCCATCATTGAAGAGTACCACAGTCCCTACAAGCTTGTAGATGGCCACACCCCGGACATGAACCCAGAGAAAGTGAACGCACCTGATTTGGATCCACAGGGACGGTTCATTCGATCCACTCGTATTCGCGTTGCTCGCAATCTGAAGGGTTACAATCTCACACCCAACATGACCAAACAAGAACGGATCGATCTCGAGAAAAAGATCGTGGACGTGTTGGAGTCATTGACGGGTGACCTCAAAGGTACGTACTATCCGCTTAGCGGAATGGACGAAGCAACAAGACAACAGCTGGTAAATGACCACTTCTTGTTTAAGAAGGGCGACCGTTTCCTGGAGGCAGCAGGTGTCAACAAGGAATGGCCAGAAGGACGAGGAATCTTCCACAACGTCAACAAGACTTTCTTGGTATGGGTCAATGAGGAAGACCAGTTGCGGATAATCAGTATGGAGATGGGGAGCGATATTCAGTCAGTTTTTAAGCGTCTTTGTGATGCAGTGAATGCCATCGACGCAAAGCTGGGTTTTCAAGAAACTAAACAGCATGGATACCTTTCGTCCTGCCCCACCAACCTGGGCACTGGTATGCGTGCCAGTGTGCACGTGAAGATCCCACATGCTAGTGAGCATCCAGACTTTAAGAAAATCTGCGATGAATTTCATATTCAGGTAAGAAATCTATAGCTTTGTATGATCCTGTGTTAAGTGGGTGGGGTGGGGGGTGTTGGGGGGGGGGGGGGTTTCGTTACTTGGGTCACGCCGGGGGGCTTTTGGAAAATTCTATTTATTTTTTCTGTCCCTATTAACGGGCCCCATTTAAAATAAGCATTTTGTGTGATCTCTTTGTTAACGGTTCCTGCACCTTCGTTAACTGTTTTGGTTTAATTTAAAAAAAAGAAAAGAGCATGAATCCTTTCGGCCCGCCCCCCCCACCCTGGGCAATGGTGTGCGTGACAGTGTGCAGGTGAAGAGCCCACATGTCAGTGATAATCAAACTTTAAAAAAATACGTTGTTATATTTCTTATGTAGGAAAGAATTTTATGGGTTTTTTGGTGCTTTTGTTGGGGGGGGGGGGGGGGGGTGGTGGGGGGGGGGGGGGCTTTCGTTTCTAGGGACACGCCGGTCAGCTATTGGACAATTCTATTTATTTTCCCTGTCCCTATTAACGGGCCCAGTCTAAAGTAGCGAATTCGTGGGATCTCTTGTTTAATGGTTCCTGCACATTCGTCAACTATTATGGTTAAAACTTGCTATTACAGACAATAAAGAGACAAAATGAAGTGTCCTCAGTAGAAAATCACGTGCAATGTATAGTTAGGAGATGGAAGGATCGTTAAGCTTTGAATGTGAAAGTCAGTCTTTCTCTTTAAAAAGAGCGCCTTCAACGGGAATTGACTTTTTTAAAAGAAAATGCTTTCTATTTTCCCCTACAAATACACCAATAGCCCGTGTCAAGTTGTGTTATCCTCATTTTGCCTATTGTTGTTTTAAGCCTCGTGGAATTCATGGAGAGCATTCCGAGTCTACTGGAGAAGATGCCGGAGTGTTTGACATCAGTAACCGTAGACGTTTGGGACTCTCTGAGGTACAGTGTGTACAAGACATGTACAATGGAGTCAAGAAACTTCTGGAGATTGAAAAAGCCGCCATTGCGTACGTATTGACGGGTTTACAATTTAACCTTCTCTCTCGCTGTCTGTCTCTTTTTCATAGGAGTGATGAGTTAACGGCGTTCTATTTATTATTTTGTCAGCGAGAAACAGCAAAAGTTTCCAGAGGGACTTAAGGGACCTGAGGTGACCTCCCGCTTGAAAAAATACCTCACTGAAGATCTCTTCAACGAGCTCAAAGACAAGAAAACAGCTAGGGATTGTGGCATCTGGGAGCAGATTAACTCTGGTGTGGTACACCTTGACTCCGCAAATGGCGTTTATGCCTCTGAAGAAGAAGCTTACACCCTGTTTGGAAAATTGTTTGATCCAATCATTGAAGATTACCATGCCCCGTACAAACTGGCTGATAAACACACTTCGGATATGGATCCAGAGAAGGTTGACGCTCCTAATTTGGACGAGGCTGGCGAGTTCATCCGGTCTACTCGGATTCGTGTGGCTCGTAATCTTAAGGGACACGGATTGCCACCAAGTATGAATAATAAGGAGAGAATTGAGGTGGAGCAGAAGGTACAGTTATAGTCACAGCCACTGATAAGCACTAAAATAATTAGCTCTTTTTCATATCAATGGATGATATTAACATTAATTTTCATCTAACGAAACCACAAGCACGTAAATAGAAACAAGAAAAGTTTAAATTCTTTGTATTTCATTTATTAACAAAAGAAAATTTTAAATTCTTTTCATTTCATTTATTAACGTATCTATATCGAGATAAGAATCCTGTTTTAAAAAGATTTGAAATAAGGATTCAGTTATTTTTTTTCTTGAATCTCTATTTTGGGAGCTGTCTCTTAACATCTGGAATACTGTTCCAAAGTTTTGCGCCCATAATGGAAAAAGAGTTCTTGTAGTGATTTAGTCGAGAGTAGTTTATATAGAAATTACCAACGGTAGAAGAACGGGTGTTGTAATGATGAACATCTTTGGTGGGGGTAAAAAGATCAGAAATGTCAGACATCATGTTATAGACATCATGCATTAAGACAGAGCAATTTTTAAACCAGAGTAAGCGTAAAGGCAAAATATTGGTAGAGATAACATGTGGAACAGCATGAAAACTAAACTTGGCAAAATGGATGATGTGTTTTGGCTGCCTGTCACAGGCAATAAGGCCGGATTGAGTCATAGTGAACCACCCTGAATATTTCCTATGACTGACAGCATTTCAGGAATATGTTACTCGTTTCCTTTCTTCCCGGTATCTCCATATTATACATTGAGTTTTACAGTTTGATAATTTTACAGTAACGACTAGCCTGTTAACAAACAACCAAAGAAAGACTGATAATCATTTTATTGTAAGATTTTGGTCCAGTTTTGAATCCAGAATTGCCTTCTAGAATGTAGTCTCGTTGCAGCCGTTTTTGTCTCGTCACCCAGTTACGCTGCGCCCCCCCCCCCCCCCCTCCTAAAAAACCTGCGTTGGGGACTACCTAGTATGCTTTTATCATGAAGTTTGCGTGAGGTTCTAGTTAAGGCTGCCGTATTGGAATACTGCTTTTTTTTATTCGTTCCTGTAGTGATATATGAACGAGAAGTCACTATTTCCGGAAAATTCTAGATTCTTCCTTCTTTTCTAGTATAATGCATTGGTATTTAAAGGATATTGTAGCTCACTCAGGATATTCTAACTTTGTATTTGGAGAGCCTTCTTGAATCATTGAGAAAACGGTGCGCAAAAGTGGCCCTTAGTTCTTCTAAAGATAATATAAACAGTTTCAGCAGCCAATGAATGTGCGTTGAAGGCACACGTCCAATAACTGTACCCGAGTGTAATAGAGGCCCCGTCTGTAACAACATAAAAGATTATGCTGTATCCGCCCACCTGCCTATTCAGTATAGCAATATCTAGCGCCTAATATCTCTCCTTAACAAGTCTCAGATTGCCTCTTTCTGTACATCATGTCACTTAATATGAGACCTAATGAAACTTTAACATGCAAAAGAGTGGTTCTTAACGACCTCTATATTTTCTTCATCTTTGGAATCCACGCACCTTGGGCGGATCTCTTGAAATAGCCAAAATAGTTTCTTTGCCCTGAGTGTTACGAAACGCAATCATGCTCTCCTCTTTTTGCTGTTTTCTCGTAGATTGTCGGCGTTCTGACGTCACTGACCGGAGACCTGGCGGGCACGTACTATCCCCTCTCTGGGATGAGCGAGGAGACTCGCAATAAACTTGTCGAGGACCATTTTCTCTTTAAGAAAGGTGACCGCTTCCTTGAGGCCGCGGGTATCAACAAAATGTGGCCGCAAGGACGTGGAATCTACCACAATGCTGACAAAACTTTCTTAGTGTGGGTAAACGAGGAAGATCAGTTGAGAATTATCAGCATGGAGAAAGGTGATATTGTATTACTGTAAAAGGGCCGGGTATTATTTAGACAGTGTGTGTGTGCGGATGACTATTTTAAAGGGGCTATGTCCTCCGGGGGATACTCCCTATGATAGCCTATACGGGGAGGCTCCGCCCGGAAGGGGTACCTTTTCAGGGTTCAGGTATATGAAAGGGTAGGGATCTCACTAGTTGAAGTATATAAAAGCGGGATAGGGAAATCTGTCATTTGGGTCTGTGAAGGGGCCCAAAAGGGCTAACAGATTAATTTTATGGCTTTCTTAAGTCGAGAAAACGTTCTATTCTTGTGATTGATTCCTGTTAAAAAAAACATTGCATTTACAGCAGTGAAAAGGGATGCAAAGTTCTAAACAAGTTATACGAAAGGGGTACCGTTTTCGTGAAAAATGGTACACTGTATATAAAATGGTAAGGGGATCGACCATGGGGGGGAGCCTCCCCGAAAAAACATTTGTTGAGTGCCCCCCTGGGGCTATGTCACGCTATTTGCTATCTTTTTAAAAAGCTATACCGTGTCTTCATATCTATTGAATTCCAAAAATGATGCGCTAGATGTGTTATTCAAGACTATATTTAGGCATTGAAATTAATTATCTCCTGTCGTCTGTTACCAGTACAGTTGGTAAGGATAGAAATGGATTGAAAATTGAAAAAGTTGGGTCAACGCTTTGAAGTTTCAATAGTTTGCCTACTAAAATCACCCAAAAAATAATAGCTGTTGCTCCCTGATGGACTTTGTTTAATATCTTCTTCATAACTCTTCAGGAGCACGGTGAATTGCATAGGTAAAGGAACTAAGTAATAACTTCGGCACAGAAGTGACCTTAAAGAGCAATTTCCTCGTGACCTAGCTTTAAAGAAAGACACGCCATTTCCTTACCTCCTAACAGCACTACATCGCAGCGTAAGCTGAGAAGCGCGAACAAAACATCTACACACAGCGACAGCGCACGGAAAGTACACTCCACACCCTTGTCATGCGGCCCATCCATAACGACACCCGTGCCCTTCCCACCCCCGCCCCTCCCGGCGGGTCGGGGGGGGGGGCCGGGTGGGGGGGTAAAAACCAACACTTATTACCTCCTGACCCTCGTCTTTATCTTTAGCTAACCCATCTCCACCCTCACCCCTCTCTTCAGTGTCTACTTTACCTATATTCACACTATACCGGATAATTTGGATCAATTTAGGTTTGTGGGAAACTGCCTACCTACCCCTCCCCTAAGCAAACATTATCACTTACTTCTCACTTAGTGCAAAGTGTTGGCTTAGGGGAGGGGTACGTGGGCAGTTTCCCAGAATCCTAAATTGATCCGTTAGCACCGCCACGAAAACCATACCGGCTTCTGTTCACACACAAGAACGGTGATTTCGGCGCGATTTCTGTGTCAGGAGCTGCGAAGCAGCAGCACCTCTCCGATCTCTAAAGTGGAGCGTCACATATCGGATGGGTTTTGTGCCACACTTTGGTGCAGTGTAAAAACCTATTCGGACCGTCGCGGAAGTAATTATGTAGGAGCGAGGACTGGAACGCACTGAGACGCAAGTAAATATTCAGGAGTGGAAACTGTACATGTAATTTAGTGCACCAAGCCCACTCGGCCAATCGCGCCAGCACGATGTTTGATGTGTATGAAGTTGTGCCGCCTCGGGCCGTTGCTGTTCATACTATACCGGATACTGTGGATATAGCATTAGGCCTTTCGAAATCACCTCTTTTTACAGTCAGGGCTCCATGGCTCCATGGCTCCATGGCTCACAGTTGAAACCCACCTTTAATGTACAAATTCATTAGGCCTTCCCCTTTTGGCTTTATTAAACTTCACTGACCCACTCCCTACTAGCTTACGTTCCCCCCCCCCGCCCCCCACCTCCCTTCTTCTTTTAAAAGTCTGAGAAGAGAGCTGTCTTAAGTAAAGTTCCTTTGCTTACAACCAACAACGATCGTGTTCACACTTAGAATACTTGCTAATGCAGCAAACTACCCGACTCGTTCTTTTCCAGGAAGCGATATAGGATCTGTGTTCAAGAGATTGTGTTTAGCGGTCAATGAGTTGGACAAGCAACTTGGTTTCCAGCACGATGAATCCCGAGGTTATCTGTCCTCTTGCCCCACCAACCTGGGCACTGGTATACGTGCTAGTGTGCACGTTAAGATCCCAAATGCTAGTGAGCATCCGGACTTTAAGAAGATCTGCGACGAATATCATATTCAGGTATCCATGCAGACTCAATTATCATTAACACCTTTAAACTTGTCCAAGTCAACGTTTTGAGAGGAAGGCCCCGTTCACACTAATGCGTTTTGAAAACGCGTACATTTCGGTGCGTTTAGGCCTTCCGTCGACACTAATACGCTGAGTGTTTTCATTGAAAACGCATCGTAGGTGGATCAAAACGAAAATGCATACATATCTTATTAGTTTGGTCATAGCTATTAAAGTGGAATGGTTAGGAAACCCGTAAGACTTCATTGTTATATGTTTTTGTTAGATTTTTTGGACCTGACCGTGCAAAATGTTCAATAGCATTACTTACTGACTAATAGAAACATTGCGTTAATTTATTCAGTCACAAAAACAAAGGATTGTGCACGGTCAGGGAGCTTCCGACATAGACTGCAAAACGGTCGGTTTTTTTTTTCTCAAAATCAGGAAAGAAATCTGTAAAGTGTGGCATAAGAGTATTACGCGCGCCAAGCGCGCAAGCCACACACGCCCGTGGCGTCTCTTCCCAGTCTCGCTCTCTGTTTTCATCCTTTTTGACCTTTTGTTTGACTTCTTGCGCGTACTTGAATACGCAAAAATATACGGACTGTTTTGCAGTCTACTTCCAACATAAAGTACAGAACCGTTGTTTTCAACTTTGATGTTTGCCGGCTTTCATAACCAGTCTCCTCTACTAACTATGGTGTGGACGGTCGAAAACGGCCAAAGACGAATAAAATGAGAAAGATGACCGAAAATATCGCAGATGCGTGTGTTTTTAGCCTACCCATAGGGTTCAAATTACGTCACAACGTGCCATTCTTTCTTTATCGAACTTAAGTAGTAAGTATGGACAGTCGAAAATGCATCAAAAAACGGTAGTGTGGACGCGAATCGATCGATGCGTTTTTGATAACAGCGAAAGCTCATACTTCTGTTTTCTGCGTTGTTTTGTGCCTTTAGGCTCGTGGAATTCATGGGGAACATTCCGTATCTACTGGAGACGATGCCGGAGTGTATGACATCAGTAACCGAAGGCGTTTGGGACTCTCTGAGGTGCAGTGTGTGCAAGACATGTACAATGGAGTCAAGAAACTTCTGGAGATTGAAAGAGAAGCGCTAGCCTCCAAAACATAAATGATGATGAAGTTGGAGCGTGGACGTCAGAAATACGTCCTTACGGCCACGGAACTTCATGTATTTCAGAAACGTGTGATTTCCTTATTAATATTCATTATAAAAACGAGGTGTGCTTTGAAATGTAAATTTCGGTTATTTTCTTTCAAATGATTGCCAGATGCAAGGGTTTATTGGTTTATTTTGTTGGATAAACCGGCTTGAGAATCGATCAAAATAATGTTTGTGAGTAGTTGCTCGGTACAGAGACGAGCACAAAGTGATATGGCTCGTTTGCTTCAATTTCATAATCTATACCATCCTCGTCCATAGTCCAGGGTTTTCCTCGATTGTGTAGATGTGTCTGGATAAATACTTATTGCTTACATGGTGTGAACGAAATATTTCTTAGGGGTCAACAAAAGGAATGTGTACAATTTAGGAAGCTGCCATTGATTGTTACTGCAGTATCGCCATAGCAATTTCTTTATTACGTGTGTGCAAGCAAATAAATGTTTGAAACATGAATTGCTATAATTCTGAACGTACTTTTTGACCATAGAGAGGCGAAGTGTGACGTTATGTTATCATGCTAGCAAAATTTCTTGATCACAACAAAAGAGAGCTTAAGCAACAACGACGGCGACGGCAACGAGAACGGCAAAAAGGAAGTACCGTAAATCCTCTATTAAGCCCCCCCTCTCAAATAAGACCCCCTCTCTAACAAGCCCCCCCCCCCTTTTCAGAGAAGGAAAGTTAATAAGCCCCCCCTCTCTATTAAGCCCCCCCCTCCCCCTGCCGCAATCCTTATTCTTCACAAAATTTAACGATTAACGTGGACTGATCAGTTATGGTTTATTCAGGCTGGAAGTTCATATTGTTTTTTGGTCTTTGGCCGCATGACCTCCAACTTCATATGCTTAACTTTCTCAACTTTGCGCTCTAGTTCTCTGTGTAGAATTGTCACCATTTAAAAATGTAAAAATAAGAGGAGTTTTCCAGAGATTTTTGTTTGTAAGTTTTGTACGGCAAATTAATACAAGTAACCATTCTCATAAAAATTACCGAAGAACATGAGGCCAAAAGCACATTTTTGAAGAATAAGAATTTTGTTTCTGTTACTTTTAGGCTCCCACAAGTGAATTAAATACTTTTGAAAGTGACTTAATTGTACAACGCTTAAGTCTACTCTGTCTCATACCACGGTATTTTTGCTACAAGTGATGCGTTTCGCTAAATTAAATAAGCCCCCCCCTCTCTTTTAAGCCCCCCCCCCGCTTTCTATTAAGCCCCCCCTCAAAAGTGCTTGAAAAAAATAAGCTCCCCGGGGGGGCTTAATAGATGATTTACGGTAGGTTTATATGAGTAAAACAACAACTTTGCACATACATAACGTTTTTTGTACATTTCTTAGTAGTCACTTTACGACATGCGACATGAAACTTCCTAATTTTACGCGCCACCAGAGCTTTATGGAGCAGGTAGACACAACACAAAAATTTTTGTCTTTTTCTCTTTTAAAACTTACGGTCTGTTCTGATCCAAACCCAGACAATTTCGCCATCATTACGCAAATAAGATGGAATTGAATAAGATTGGTTAAGTTTTAAACACTGCGAATTCCCTATATAAGTGACTTTTCGATCTTTTTGTCATCCAGAAATTTTGTTACCATGACAACGTGAGGTAGCGACTTCTCCTCTCTACTTTAACCATACTCTGAAATGACTTGAAGAGGTGGTAGTCCAAAGAAGGAATCTATGTGTTGCCAAGTGACAACCTAATATCCCGACTGTGGTTGTTATAGATGGCAGGCGACATTGGATCTTTCCCGAGGTCCCCGTCCCGCCTCACAGGAGCGACGATGGATAGCAGCCTAAGAACAGTTGCCATGCGCGTAGAAAGATACTTAATGGTCTCGTTAATGGTCTCGCCTTTCTCCTTTGCGGAATCTAATAACAAAGGGTGGGTAAGAGTTTCCAAACAGCGAATGAGTTCGGGTACAACCTCGTTCCCAGGGTTCTCTCTCTTCCTCCCTTGAGAGAGAGCCCTGGGAACGAGGCTATTTTGTCTAGAAAGGAGAAGTCGTTACGTCTTGTTGCCATGGTATCTGCATCTCAACAAACGGTGGTCTGGCAAATATATTGCAGGAAAACACGACTTTCCTGTGCATGATTGCACGCAGGAACAAAACGGTAGCCCATACTCTTTTTCCATCGTACAACAATGCAAATAGAGAAATGCTGAGATTCAGAAATCATTCTACCATTTTAACCTGACGTCATAATTCTTTCAATTCCGGTCCTGTGGGCACACGCAGTAACGAAACGAGATCTGGAAGCTGGGGTGGAAAGTTTTATACAAATCACTGTATGTTGTAACTGCTATCCTAGATTCGGTGCTTTTGTTTACATTCGCACTGTCTTAGTACACCTTGTGCCCTCCTCAACCCACCTCGACTCCCTCTCCCCTCCCCTCCCCCCTTAATTCGTAAGCAAAATCTTTTCTTTTTTGGGGGACGACTGTGATAGCCAGGATAACGTCATTTCCGAGGTCTAAAAACCCTCACTTTTTCGTGATAACTAGGTTCATTTGCATAAGAATAAAAATTCATTTTCATACCCGAGTGGCTTTGTGATTGGCTTTGCTGCGAAACAGGGGCTTGGGACAACTCTGTAATGGTTGTTCAAGATTTAAGGGAGCAGCAAGGTGTATTATGGAAAACTCGAATGTGGGGTGAACCATTACACCTTTCAAAATGAAACAGTCTTACAGCACTTTGAAGGCGAGGCTTTTATTATTCTGCTGGCTAATAACGGCTGGTTTATACAATTGAAGTTAGGTGATAAAAGCTGATAAATATTTCGCCATCTTCGATACAATAATAGGTAAGTTCTGTCAAACAGATGATTGTAACATTAACGGCGCAAAAACGAAACAAGCGACATGTTTTCGTCTGAACAGTCACCACCGGTGCAATGAATGCTACATGTAACATTACCGAGTCTTGGGTCATTAACGATGGCTCGCGTAGGATTATTGCATGACTCCCACCGGAATTTATAGAACGTTTTGGTAGCGCAATGTTCGAAGTAGTACCTGCCTCTTTTGGTTGTAACGGTTTGATGAAGCATACAGAGGACTTCGTTTTTTGCGCATGGACGTGATTTTGCCGTCTCAACGCAGTCTTTCAAACTCTCACGGCTAAAGCAAGATTTGCATCTTAGGGTCTCTCCTGAAAAAGAAAGCGAAACACAGGACTGTAAATAGTAGTAATGTAAAGGTAAAAAAGGAGGACTTACGCAAATGGAAAGTAAAGGCAAAACCTACACTGACAAGGCGTGAAAGATGTAGTATGGGTTCTCGCAATTTTCGATGCCAGTTATAATTTTCATTATTGTTGCATGTAGTTCTGAAGAATAAACTTACGACAATGGCTTACACAACATGAAAGAGCATGCGAAACAGATTTAGCTTTGAATATAATCTAGTATATAATATAATCTCTGTCAACGTATTTCCCTTTACTGACACAAATAAAAAGAAGAAAGGACAATGAACAGTTAACACTGTTTACTAGAAAACCCTAAGTTTTCAGACGCTGGTCTACAGTATAAACTGACAGCTTGTTGCCGTCTTCTTTCCATATCGTCCGCCTCATTCAGGGACATACTTATAGAAAGTATTTAACAACATCTTTAACAACAACGAGAATTTAAATAAGCACTTATCCTGATCGAAAGAAACAAAATTTCATCCCAGCCTGGAAAGAGGACGAACGAACGTGAGGGGGACTTGGAGGAAAGGCTTAGGTAACCGTCCTTTCTCTAGCTGGTGAAAGTCAAGTGAACGTTTTTCAAAATACGAAGACTAACCAGCAGATGTTTCAAGTGTAGAGAGTACTCTCTCCCTGTTATTGGTTTAAAATCACTTAACCAAAAAGCTTTTAAACCACGGAAGAAGACTGAGGACACTCCACAAAACGTCTGGTTTTCCTTTCAACGCGCATTTTGAAATATTTTAACAATTTCACGATTAATTCTTATATTTAGTTTCGTATCAGCTTACATTGATTTCTCCCTTTGTCTCTCAGCGGCGCGCGCTCCTCAAATACGCATAGGCCCGATTTTCCTAATTTCCTGTCTGTAATTTCCAAAATAATATACTTAACCTCGCATATCATCGTGAAAAGCGCCCTTACCTTCATATATGTAAACCAGTAGCAGCACGAACACCAGAAATTTGATCATTCTTTAGGTCTGTAAAGAAGAGTAAAAAGAAGCATTGATTAGGTGTAGACTGATTGAGCTATGATCTGGAATTCTACCCATATCTTAAATGCCATAGGTACGAGAAATTTGCAAGTGCTTTATTAGTACAAATTCTATGCGATCAACTCTATTTGAAATTCTCTAAAAATGTCAGGTTACTAACCAAAAGCTCTTGATTTTGAAAGTGCTGGTTGATCTTAATTATTTGATGTGCTTGAAGCCTGTCAATTTATGCAGAATTTTTGAACATTTTGCTGTCGCAGAAAAATTGAGTTAAAAATTCAAAAACAAACACAAATATGAGAAAAGAATACTGAGATCTAAAAACTGCACATTACAGACTGTTGTTACCTTTGAATAAACACGTCCTATGATTGAACACTCGTCTGAAATACTTTACAAGGCGGCTGCTATATCTTTGAGTAACCCGCTGTATAAAGCAGAGCGCAAAGTAACAGAGTAAGCGTTAAAAAGTTGTAACTTATATATTTAACCCCCTACTCTTCAGCTTTTTAACAGCTATCAATCAATCATCACTAAAATGGTTGAAGACTAACCTTTCACCCGACCTATAAACGAGTAAGAGTTGTTTTACGAGGAATTAGCTATTTATAAACTTAAGGAAAAACTCCATTCTGAGGGATATTTTTGAAAACATGTACGTACTGGGCAAGAATGGAAAGGTCAGTCCTTACTACTGCACGCCTAGGAAAATGTCTTCTTCCTCGCAAAATTTTGTTGCGCGGTGCGTATGACGTCATTAGCTGAAACGGGCGGCTTAGTGACGCCAAAACGTTTGAAAAGCGGAATATTTAGTGTTTTGTGGTTGCATATGCTGAAGAACCACCTCACATGTGATCTAAACACCCCATGAAATAGTTTCCCCGAAAAGGACACTAGGAAGTGAAAGAGGATTGATATGACGTATTTTAGATGCATACAGGAACGAGGAACGGATCATTTTCAATTTGCGGAAACTCGCCATACGTTCCGGTAACAGTTAAACAAGCATTGCCTTTCACTCTGAAAAGGCATTAAGTTAACATCCGGTATAAGAAAAACGTCTACCGTATCACGAACCTAATTTCACTCTTTGGTTGCTGGCTGTGATGCTAGTTTACTTTGAAACCAGTGCAGTGTACGTCCATTCAGTTTGGACATGCATGAAAATTATTTCTCTGAGTCTATGGAAGTACTTTCCTGTGGACCGATGAATTTGTTCTTAGCTTTGTAATGACAATTAAATGAAAGCTTGGCTAACTATTTTCTGAAGCAGGCTTTTGTTTGAATACAACGGAACGCTGATGGCGTGGTGGCTTCTCAGTAGGTAAAACTATCTGTGAATAGTCCTTTCGAAGTCCTTTCAACAACAGTTGTCTGATCTATAATATACTTCGAATTCGTTAATCGAAACAAAGGGTAAAAGTTGTCAATTAGAAAGCCTTTGAAGTTCGCAAATCAGAGACTTTAAGAGTCAATAATGGATAGTTTGATTACAGGGAGACAAATGTGTCCCTACGCCTGCTAAAAATTCATTATGATGATGTCTCTTACTGTTTTATCAACAGGAGAGATAGTCTCCAATTTGCCACAGAAATCGCCTATTTGATTAAAAAGCACTTTGGTAAGCCTAAATTTAGATCTTTTATTTTGTTCTCTAAAATCTCTCAATTACCTGTTAGAAAAATATATGTAGGACAAACAGCACATGCTGTTGAACAAATTTGAAACTTGTTCATGTGTTATTAGCTAGAGTACTCTTTTTCTGGTTCAATTAAATTTTTGCAGTTGGGTGCTTTACCTTTTACCGTCAACCCAGTAGTTGAAAACATGCTAAAGCAAACCTTATGCCGCCTCGTGAGCGCAGCTTTTATAGTCTAGAATAGTTCAGTATAGTAGAACCAGGTTAATACACTCCAGACACCAAAGAAACATGGACATCACGCCGGATGCCAAAGTGCCCTTATCGTGTGTTTGAGTTGCTCCACAGTAAACAGAGTAAAAGCCAGGGAGACAAGTTGTATCGATGCAAAGAACGAAGCATCACGTTATAAAATTTATAATGATTCAAAAATGTCTAACCTGTAACTTACGCACAAACGTACTGAAGAATGCGCTCGTTCAAGTCTATTGTGCAATCAGCGAAATTTAGCCAGTTCACTCGGTGTTTCAAAAGAGGCAAATTAAAAAGGAAAAAATTCTAAAACATTTTTAGTGTCCTACTAAACGGAGTTAATGAGCTGTTGAGAGGAGGTTTTTTTTAATTAACTTCACATGATGAAAGCATTTCGCTCAGTCACATGGAAGTATCCATTTTCCAGCGTTCTTATAAAGAGGATTTTCGTAAAATATAGGAGTTTCTCTGTACACTACTGATCAACTGGTTAGTATGTGAAACACCCTGGAATTCTCAACACCTTAAAGATTTGAACTTGAAAAAAGCGTTTTGCTTTCCCATGAAACTCATGAAATACGTGACTCTTGAGTTGGCCCACGCATCAAGGAAACGCGGAAACAACTGCGTCTACAGGAGTCATCCTGATCGGTACTTCCTTAGTCTTAAGAACCAGTGTAGGTCAACTACGTTCGTCATAAAAGTATAGGTTCCGTTTCGAAAAAGTG